TACCAAAAAGAATTGGTCAATGTTCATCCATTTCAGGAGGTGGCATATGATCAAGAACCAATGGTATTGAAGGAAGAAGTTGAAGCTGCACTGAAGGATTTGGCAAAAATCAAGGCTCTAGGAATTGTCAGAATACCCACTGAGACGTTTCAACAAACGGATGCTGCGCTAGAGTTACTCACTTGGCTATGCCAAGAGATTTGGAAGACAGCTACCTGGTCAACTGACTGGAAGAGATCCATATTTGTACCCATTCCAAAGAAAGGTGATCCCACAGAATGTGGAAATTGAATAATGTCATTAATATCACACCCAAGTAAAATCTCACTGATGATAATTTAAAAAACGGTTGCAGCAGTATATTGATAGAGAAGTTCCAGAAATGCAAGCTGGATTCAGAAGAGGACATGGAATGAAGGATATCATATTTGATGTCAGATGGATCTTGGCTGAAAGCAAAGAATACTAGAAAGATGTTTTTATTGACTGTGCAAAAGCATTCAATTGTGTGGGTCATAACAAATTATGGATAACATTGAGAAGAATGGGAATTCCAGAACACTTAATTGTATTGATACTGATGAGGAACTTGTACATAGATCAGGAGGCTGTTGTTTGAACAGAACAAGGGGATACTGCATGGTTTAAAGTCAGGAAGGGAGTGCATCAGGGTTACATCCTTTCACCAGATTTATTTAATCTGTATACTGAGCAAATAATCTGAGAAGCTGGACTATATGAAGAAAACATGGCATCAGGATTGAAGGAAGACTCATTAACACCTTGTGATACACAGATGACACAACTTTACTTGCTGAAGGTGGGGATGACTTGAAGCACTTTCTGATGAAGTTTAAAGACTACAGTCTGCAGTATGGATTACACCTCAATATAAAGAAAACTAAAATCTTCACAATTGGACCAATCAGCAGCATCATGATGAATGGAGAAAAGATTGAAGTTGTCAAAGACTTCATATTACTTGGTTCTACAATCAGTGCCGACGGAAGGAGCAGTCAAGACATCAGATAATTTATTGCACTGGGCAAATCTGCTGCAAGAGGAAAGATGTCTCTTTGAAGACTAAGGTGTGCCCAACTGAAGTCATGGTATTTTCAGTTGCCTCATGTGCATGTGAGAGTTGGACAGTAAATAAGGAAGAGCGAAGAAGAGTTGATGCTTTTGAGTTACGGTGTTGGTGAGGAATACTGAGAGTATCATGGACTGCTAAAGAAACAAACAAATCTGTCCTGGAAGAAGTGCTGCCAGAATGCTCCTTGAAGCAAGAATGGCCAGATTTCATCTCACCTCCTTTGTCATGTTCTCAGAAGGGACCATTCCCTGGAGGAAGGATATCATGCTTGGTAAAATGGAGAGTCAACAGAAAAGTGGAAGGCCCTCGACAAGATGGATTGACACAGTGGTTGCAGTGATGGGCCTCAGGTATAGCAGGGATTGTGAGGCTGGCACAGGATTGAGCAGTGTTTTGTTCTGTTGTACATAAGGTCGCTATGAGTCGGAGACTACTCGATGGTACCTAACAAAACAACAACATGATGGCATGACTGGTTAGTGCCTAGCAAATATATACAAAGAATAAGAAGGCAAATAATCTGTATGCATAGCTTTCAAAGTTGGATGATGTTTAAAAGGGAAAGAGTTCTTTGGATTGAAATGATATAATTGGAATGTGTTTTCTCCAGCCTTTTATAATGTAGCTAAAAAATTTGAATTATGTTTAAATAGAACATTCTTAGACTCCTGATATTATTTAACACTAATACTTATAAAACTGAGACACACTGAAAACTTACCAGTTGACAGTTTGTTTCAAGATAGTGAACTGACTCTCAAATTGAATTTCAGGTTCAGGAAAAATAATTAGTAGGATACCAATTTTTGTTGTAGCTGAACTCATGTCATGAAGGAGAAAAAGAAACTACAGAAATGTATAGATGAAAAGTGTCATATCTGTAAGTACTTTCTGAAAAAATAACAGACAAACATGCAATCCCTAATCATCTGGAAGACTTTCACCTTATTACCTTGATTTTAAAATAAATGTTTTTTCACATTTTAGTGTTTTCTTTAATCATGATTTGTCTTAATGTCAGCGTATATTTTATATATTATTTCCTTTTCTCCCAAACAGCTGTTATTAATTCAATCATCTTTCAACAGTGATATCTTAAAAATGAGGAAACATGGTATTTCTGATCTTACCAAGCTCTGATATTCTGTGCAACTTTGGCTAACCTGTTGTCTGAGCCTTGACACCAGTATGTGGATATAGCTGAATCTTTGGGTTCCGCAAAGTCATTCAGAGTTTCAAAAACAGCATTTCTGAGTGGACCATCTTTTTCTTTACTTGCTACTGATTTTTTTAAAAGAGTTCTGTCAATAAAAGTTTTGTTTGTATGCTTTTGTTAAAGGTCTACTTCAGGAAAGGGAAAATACTCCGTGATGCTGGTTTTTTAGGTGATGCCTTACAACTGTTTCTTCAGTGCTTAGCCCTTGATGAAGATTTTGCACCTGCAAAGCTAGAAGTAGAAAAGGTAATCCGTTTACAAACTAATAATTCAAAGCAAGGCTACCACACAGATCTTTTTACAAATGCATAGTGCCTAAGGCATTTGACTGCTAACCAGAAGGCTGGCGGTTCAGACCCACCAGCCACTCCTCGGAAGGAAGATTGGGCAATCTGCTTCCATAGTAATAACCGAAAAACCAAACTCATTGCCATCGAGTCAGGTCCAACTCATAGCAACCCCTCGTTGGGTTTCCAAGGCAGTATCACTATGGAAGTAGATTGCCCCATCTACTTTGTTATAAATTGTGATATAATTTACATCCAAAAAAGTGTATATATTTTACAGTTCATTGAGCTTTGGGAAATATGTATGCCCATGTAACGGCATCCCAAATAAGACATAGGACATTTCCATCACCCTAAAATGTCCCTCATGCTCCTTTCCTATAAATCCTCCACCTCTATTCCGAGAGGCAAGGACTGTTCTGAGTTTTATCACCGTAGATTAGTTCTGCCTATTCTAAAACCCACATTAATGGAATCACACAATATGTACTCTTTTTGTGTCTGGCTTTTTTTTTTTTTCTGTACAACATAATAATTTTTTAGGTATGTAGTAATTTTTTTTCTGTTTTACTGTGGACTCTATATTCCATTGTTATGAACATCGTATAATTTGTAGTATTCATAGTTAGTGATAATCACCAAGTGATTTTCATTTGGCTTATTTCTAGTTTCTTACTGTTATTAATAAAGCTTCTGTGAACATTGTCATACAAGTAATTATGTGGACATATGTTTTAATATCTTTTTGGAAAATACCTACATCCGTAGTGATACTGCCTTGGAAACCCCAGGAGGGGTAACTGTGAGTCGGGTCCGACTCGACAGCACGTAACAACAGCAACAAAGTTGTGTTTCTGGGTTATAGGGTGGGTATGTGATTAATACTTACTTTTTAAAAAACAGGAAATGTAAAAACATGTACTTTAAATCTGTGTTCACTAAATAGGGTATTGATTGAACACCTAACAGGAATGCATACTTTTATTTAATTGAATTTATTTCCTTGCGAGGAATCATAAATTATTCCAAGATTTATGTATTTGAACAATAGATCAAAAATTATAAAACACATCTTCAAATTTATATTTTAAAAAGTATTCTGCTTATTTGACAACCGAAAAATCAGACTCCCTTTTATTTCCTTCTAACTAAGTCTTCCCCTATCTTTACCTACTCTTTCTCTGTTTTTTTTTCAGAGTGTTAGGTGTATTACTGCTGTAAGCACCCAGAAATTCTGATGTTGCAACTATCTCCTAGTTTAGCAGCTGTTATGTAGGCAGGTGCCCTTTGGTGCTTCCAGTCAAGTGCTGGGTAGTATAGACTTCCCCAGCAGGTTAGTTGTTCAGTGAGAAACTAAATTTAATGTTAATATAAGAAATTTTTTAAGATTTTTAGTTAGAGGCCCAAGTTCTTTAGTTTACATAAACACTTCTAAGTACAGCCTTAAAATACACCATTAGTATAAACTGTACATCATTTGGCAGAGGTATTTTCTGCTTCTCTTAAGAGCTCTTCCCACCCCCCACCCCCCCACCCTCCGCAATCATCGTATTAAAAGGCCATCCTTTACCTTGAATACCTTCTCAGGCTACCAATCCAACTACTCCCATTCCTTCCTTTAAAACTTAGTTCATTTCTTTGAGGCTATTTGACACTGTTAAATCTGGTAGTCTCTGTTGCTTCTCTTGCAACTGCCATAGCTAATGGCTACTCTTGTTTTTTCAAGACAACTACTTTAGTTAAGCAGTTATCTATTAATTGGATTATCTAATATGTTCTTCCCTTGCCCACTGAAAATAATGTCTACTACTACAAACTTTCTGAAAATTCTTAAAATATTAGGTAAATTTACATTAAGATATTCTGGACCAAATATTTTTATATTTCCTATTACTTTCATCATCCTATGAGTCAAAATCAACTTGATGGCAATTGTTGGTGTTTTTTTTTTCCTTTTGTTTTAAATTGCTTTTATAATATTTCTCTTATAGATTTTGTGTGATTTATTATCCCCTGAAAACTTAAAAGAAGGCTTGAAGGAATCTTCCTGGAGTTCATTACCATCTACTAAAAACAAAGCTTTTGATTTTCCTTCAGTAATGGAAGAATCTCATTCTCCTTGTGAGGTTAGCCCAGAGCAGGTAAAGGATGAGAAGAGATTATCATGGATTTAGCATATCAAATTAAGATCTTTACTTTTCTAATTTCAAGCACAAGTAGTCCTCAGTTTAAGACTTACTTGAATTACAACAAATTGTACTTAATGATCATCTGGTTTTTTGGGTCTTTTTTTTTGGTAATACGTACTGCATACAGTGTTGCAACATGTAATTTGCTCATGTTTTCATTCTCAGATGTTCACTTAGAGATGTTCAATGATATGATTTATAAAGATATTGATAATAAAAGATAATAATGAAATTTTTTTTTAAAATGAGGTATTTGACTTATATCAGAACCGACTTAATACAGAGTTGTCAGAATGGAACCCCATCAGAATGGAACCCCATTGTAAATTGGGGACTACCTGTAATAGAATTTAGGATTTTAACGTATTTAACCAGTAACTGTGATTCTGACTCCTGATGACCCTGTGTGTGTCAGAGTATAACTATGCTCCACAGGGTTTCCAATGGCTGATTTCTTAGAAGTCGATCTCCTTGTCTTTATTCCAAGGTACCTCTGAGCAGACTTAAACTTCCACCCTCTTGGTTAGGAGCTGAAGGCATTAACCATTTGCACCACCCAGGAACTCTTTCAACCTGTTTAATATTGAAATAATATAATTTCATCTCTAGCTTTTTATTTACCTTTTGTGTAAACCATTTGTTCATTAAACACAATTTTAGCTCACTGAATGCCAGAAAACTTTTAGTCTCTTAGAATTTACAGAACATTGTATTTGTTTTAGTTTTCTCAGGCCAGGAGCAACTATACTAACATGATGGCTTATGTCTGGTTATAACATAAGTCATTTAATATCTGGTACAGTTATAAGTACTGACAAAATCATTTACTTGCCAAAGTTTTGGAACTAAAACTTAGGGCTGTTAAAATGAACATTGGATAGCATTGACATTTCACTTCAGTTTGGTTCCTGATGAGAACAATATTCTGTTATTTAAAGAATAAGGTCGCTATGAGTCAGAATTGAGTCAATGGTACACAACAAAGAAGTATAGTTACTTTTGTTTATTGTACTTTTATAGAATGAAGCAGTTCCAGAGGTCATTTCAGAACCTGTCAAAGGAAGCTTAAACCGTGCTCAGTCAGCACAGGCTATAAATTCAACAGAAATGCCTGCCAGAGAGGATTGTTTAAAAAGAGTTTCCTCAGAACCTTTACTCTCAGTTCAGGAAAAAGGTTCTCTGCTGAAAAGAAAGCTGTCTCTTTTAGAACAGGATGTGATTGTAAATGAAGATGGAAGAAATAAGCTTAAAAAACAAGGAGGTAAAAGTTTCCCTATACTTTTATGTAAAATACATTTATTTACTCAGAATAACCTTTCAATTTTTTTCCTAACAACAACAAAAAAAACTATTTGTTTTGATAGAATCTCCCAGTGAAGTCTGTACATTATCCTTAGTGTGTCATGACATCCCAGAAGAATTGATAGATGTCTCAGATTTTGAATGTTCTCTCTGTATGAGGTAAGTATATATAACTTTTATAAAACATGAATATTTTATATTAATATAAATGCAGCAATAGATAAAGGCAATAATAATGTATTAGGACACTAGACTAAAATTCAAAAGATATGAATTGTAGTCCTATGTCTACCATTTCACACCTTGGGCAAATGACTATCTCTGATCCTCAGTTTTCCTGTTCTAGAAAGTGGAGTCTTATTTACATAGGCTACATCATAGTCTTCTGAGAATCAAATGGCTTATATATAAAAAGTTTGTGGAATACGGTAAAGTACTAAAAGTCTGTAGGTGGTAAATCTGTGGGTAAGAATATTAATTATGTGTTGTATGTATATGATTCTTGTTTACATATTTTAACAATAAAATCATTTTTAAGTAATATTGGAAAAGGATTTTCATTATGTAGAATATTTGTAATGCTAAAAGATAGATGTTTATAAAAGAACATTTCGGTTACATAAATTGTGGTTGGTAGAGTCAAAGGAACACTCCATGAAGAGTAAGGAGGTCTGATGTTGCTGGTTCATCTAGTGATGTAGTGCTATCCTCCTGAGGTGGTCCCTTAACTTTGAACCTCAGAAGTGAGGGGGTCAGACCAGGCAATTTCTAACATATCTTATGTATCTACCAGTGTTTCTAGCCTTCGGAAGGATCAGGAAATAATTACAATATAAGTAAAGATTCCTATCTATGCACTGTTTGACTGTTACAGACAGTGAAACCTGGGAGAGCTGAATTTAGGACTGCCTTGTTTTTTGGGACTCACAACTTTTCCACCTTTACCACTTTTACATCACTCTATTTAATAGAAAATACTGCAGTTTTCCTTCTCAGACAGGTTTCTACCTTATACAGGTTCTGACTTGCACAGGTTTTACTATATAATATTAAAGATTATTACTTAGGATTCAATTATGATATTTATTAAATTATTCTTATTAGTGAATTTTTATCTGGTAAGGCTATTAGTAATGATATACTTTGCATTATTTATTTTGTACTAAGTCTTTCAAATCTGGTGCGTATTTCACACATACTGCATATCTCTCAGTTTGACTAGCTACATTCCAAGAGCTTAATAGCCTCATGTGACTAGTGGCTGTCATATTAGTTAGCACAGCTCTAAGCCCTTAGCAGGGTACCTCTGTTGATGAAGGTATTTTAAGAAGTTTAGGAGGTATAATTGCATTTATCACTGCCCCTTCCATCCTATCCTGCCTACTAGTTCCTCCTCTTTCCTTATCTAAATAGAGATTGGTGTTGTTGTAACATTATCAGTTTGTTCACATTTTTCCAGTGGATAGTTTGATGTAAAAATTAATAAGTGTTTTGGTTGATTTCAGGTTGTTTTTTGAGCCAGTAACAACCCCTTGTGGACATTCATTCTGTAAGAATTGTCTTGAGCGCTGTTTAGATCATACACCATATTGTCCACTTTGCAAAGAGAGCTTAAAAGAGGTAAGTATTTATATATGCATTTGTTTATTGGTCTTAAATTTGGCAACATGGTTTGGTTTCTATTCAGTCATGAAAACAGTCATTATCATGCTTAAAATGTATTACATTATATATGCCAAGTGGCAGAAAATGATATTTTATTAGCCATATGCTTGTTGTTGTTATGTGCCGTTGAGTTGTACCCAACTCATAGCAACCCCTCCTTGGGTTTCCAAGGCGATATCACTACAGAAGCCCAACCTTCCTTCTGAGGAGTGGCTGGTGTGTTTGAACCACCAGCCTTCTGGTTAGCAGTCAGGTGCCGTAGGCACTACGCTACCAGAGCTCCTATCCATATGCTGGGGTTGCAGAAAACTGAAACAGAAGGGATTAAGGGGAAGAAGAGAGGTTTTGGAGACCAATGTATACTTAGTTTAAAAAAGGTGGAGTCTGATCAGGTCCCTGGTCAGGGATATGTTCAGTGTTAATGATGATGATATTGGGGATACTCAAGTACCATGCCCTCCCCACAGTGAGAGGCCTGATTAGAGACCTGTTTCATCCCCCTTAACCTGTAGAAAGAACAATGCTATCCAATACAACTTTCTGCATTGATAGAAATACTGTATAACTATGCTGTCCAGCACAGTAGTCACTAGCCATGAGTGGCTATTAAAAACTTGGAATGTGGCTAGTGTGACTGAGGAACTATGTTTATAATTTTAATTAAATATAAGCAGCCATTAGCTGGCAGCTGTCACACTGGACAGCATAGCTCTAGAAAGTGCTAGGCTGGAAAGAAGAGAAAAAGCTGTATCTTTGCATATCCTTCTGGTGTAATCAATGATTAATGCCAATAATCTATGATAGAAAAATATATAGATCCAAGGTGGGTATTACGCGTAACTGATGGAAGGACTGAGTGCCTGGAAATCAGCTAGAGTGAGGCTGAAGCCTTACAGTTTTGAGCTGTGGCTGCAGTGGTAGCATTGGCTGGGGAAGGTAATGACACGATTGTTTAAAGAAAAAGAAAGTCTTCCAAATATGAACAAAAATCTAGTAAAACTATTTTGTTATTGAATATGCACGGAGTTATTTCCTATGTAGAAAACATTTCTGTGTGGATATTGTAATAGCTTGTGTATTGTTATATTTGATAATCATAAACCATTTATAAAATGTTTACATAGTCAGGAAATGTAAGATAAACTTATTTTTAAAGAGTTTCTTAGTTATATTTTCAACTAATATGCTCAATGTTTTTAGATAAAATATCCTAAACTCTTTTTTCCTGTGTTTCTAGATATTTTAGATACTCTCTTAATATATTTAGTATGCTTTTTTTTCCAGATTAATAGATTCATTGCTTTGAATTTATAGATTCATCACCTTAAAAATATTTGAAGAAAAGTGTATTAAGCATAATATTTGAAGCTATAACTAATATACTGTTTAAAAATAAGATTATCCTGTATCCCAACTTGAAAACACACCAAATACAGTGAAACTTGTGAGAGTTAGAACTCAATGGGTCTGCCTTGTTTTTCCAGGTCTCACAAGCTTCTTTCTTTAACAGGGTGCAGCCTTACCATTTTCGTATAGCTTGTTTTAGTGGAAAATATTTTAGTTTTCCTTCCCTGACAGGTTTCCATCTTACACAAGTTTTGTAATATAATTTGTATGATATATAATATAGAAAATAAAATTGATTAACTCTACATATAGTTTTATACTTTTTCTACTTATCACTTTATTTTTGTCATTGAAATATATCTTAAGAACATAATTTTTGTAGCTGCACAGTATTCCAGCGATTTAATGTTTCCCTGTTGTTGGGTGTGTGAGTTGTTTTGCTCTCTGTTTTTCTATATATAATGCTTTAATGAACATCATTTAAAATTAATGACTGCTCTGTCTTAGACCATTTCCTTAGGATAAATCCTGGGAAGTGAATTATTGGATTAAAGGCCATGAATTTACAAGGCTCTTAAAACCAATTGCCAAATTGCCTGCTGGTCTTTGAAATACTGATAGCGTAGTTTCCAGTATCACAGCAACACACAAGCCACCACAGTACAGGTGGTAGAAATTGCCTTCTTCCCATCCTAAATGCACAGATTTATGTTCTTATCAGCAACGTGAGAGAGGCTCTATTTCTCCAAATTTAATATATATGGGTGTTAAATTTTAAAACATCTTTATTAATTTAAAAGAAAATGGTAGTGGACTATTTTTTAGATTTTACAATACACTTTTAAATCATCTCTGCACAGATTATCTGTGCAAAGGTACCAATGGTTCTCAAAGTATGTTTTCCTCACCAGCAGCATCTTTATCACCTGGGAAGTTGTTAGAAATTAAATTCTCAGGCCCTATTTCAAACCCACTAAAGCAAAAACTCAGGGGTAGATCTCAGTAATCTGTATTTTAATAAATTCGGATTCATGTTAAAATTTGAAGAATACTACTCTAACCAATTTTCCCACTTCTTAAATTTCCTAATCTATTCTTCATTGGATAATGACAAACCCTTACTTTTGCTGGTTCTATAGATTAAAGGATGGCTTCTCTTTATCTTGTCCTGCAGTTGCCTCCCAAGAGCTTTTCCTCACTACTTTTATTAATACTTATTGGGCATTTTCTTTGCCCAAAGTTCTGTGCACACATTCTGACCTGGTCCCTGGTCCTAAGCAAGCTTTAGTTTGATTGCAGAACTATGATGTACCTTTGTCCATATGTGCATGGTATGGTGAATGCCTTTTCGTGGCACAGACAGTAAATGCTGTGGGACTTTAGGGAGCCAGGAAAATAATTAAGGAAGCCTTTATGAAAAAGGTAAAATTTGAGCCACACTTCCATAGACAGATGGGCTTTTCATGGGTAGGGGTGAGTTGGTGGCTTTTTGCGGTTGGAATAAAGAATTACACAAATGCTTGAGGGCAACCATTCTTCAAAGAACATTCAGGGAATGGAATAAATGCTCTATTTGGTTTAGACTAGGGGGAATGGATCATGTAGGAACAACAGTATCTTGATATAAGGGTCTGAGTGACAGTGGAGTGACAGTGGTAGTGGAAAGAAAATCTTAATGAAAAATCATCAGAAGATTTTGCCACTGAAATTGGCAACAAAGAAAAGGGAATAGGTTTGCTTTAGTTTAATAAGGCAAAATGTATTGTTTTCTTTATTCCTGATCTAATTTTTGTTTCTGTTAGAATGGTAGTTCAATTACCCAAGAGGTATCAGATGGCAATTGGCCTTTGATGTGGGAGATGGCAGAGGCAGGGCTGATTGCCACTAATAGAGGATTTGTGATCATAGCAAAAGAACATTCTTGCATACTAAGCTTGATTCAGGTTACAACCATGTAGTTTTAATGCTCTTGAGCAAAGCCTCAGACAGGTTTACTTGTTTAGCATCATCCATTGTAATGTTTTCCCTTACTAATTAAAATAATTCAGAATTGACTGTTTAAGTGTGTAATAAGGCTTTAACATCTCAGTTAAACTGTTTTGCCTGTTTTATACCATAGGAAAACAATTACCAGATTGTAAAATAATATTGTCTTTTAGTATCTAGCAGATAGGAGGTACTGTGTCACACAGCTGTTGGAAGAATTAATAGTGAAGTATCTGCCTGATGAGCTGTCTGAGAGAAAAAAAATATATGATGAAGAAACTGCTGAACTCTCACAGTAAGTTTCTTCTCATAAAAATTAACACAATCAAATTATGAATTACCACCCTTTAAAATAGAGAGGAGAAACCTTCTCACAAGCTGGATCCTATCTTTAGTTCAGTTTAGTCCAGTCAAAGGTACATTTTTAACAGGTATTGTTCAGTGTTGTCAACTGATGGAATTTTTTTATAAGTTCATTGGGTAACATCCAAATGTTCTGTAGGGAATTACTGACTCAGCTTCCTGAAGCAGGTATTTTATTTAGGTGGGAAAGGAATTTACTGAAGTGACATCAGGCAGTGGAATTGGGAATAGAGAGGTACAGCTGGAAATAGTGATGTGAGCAACCCACATGGATCATGATAACCAAAAAAATAAAAACCAAACTCACTGCTGTTGAGTGGATTTGAGTCATAGCGATCACTCCTTGGGTTTCCGAGGTGGTATCTCTACAGAAGTAGATTGGCTAATCTTCCTTCCGAGGAATAGCCGGTGCCTTTGAACTGCCAGCCTCCTGGTTAGCAGTCACATGCCTTAGGCACTACGCCGCCAGAGCTCCCAGGTTAATGGACTAGGAGGACAGTTAAGGTAAAGGACCTGGTCTGGCAGGGGAATTTTTAGCCAAGTACAGAGTTGGAGGAGTGTGAGATCTTGAGCCCTGAGACTGAAATTGCAAAGCATGACTGGGAGTCTAATCTTCAGTTAATGAAAAGGTTAACTGGTAGCAAACTCACTTCCATCAAGTCAATTCCAACTCATAGCGACCCTCATTGGATTTCCAAGGCTGTAAATCTTTACAGAAGTAGATTGCCCCATCTTCCTTCCATAGAGCAGCTGGTGAGTTTGAACTGATGACCTTCTGGTTAGCAGCCAAAAGCCTTATCAACCATGCTACCAAACCAAAAAAAGAAAAAACCAAACTCACTGCTTTTGAGTTGAATCCAACTCATAGCAACCCCTCCTTGGGTTTCCAAGGCCGTATCACTATGGAAGTAGATTGCCCAGCTTTCCTTCCGAGGAGTAGCTGGTGGTTTGAACCACAAGCATTCTGATTAGCAGTTAAATGCCTTAGGCACTACGCCACCAGACTCAGAGGTCTTTTAAAGTTAGTATTCAAAAACCAAACTCACTGCTGTCGAGTGGGATCTGACTCATAGTGACCCCTCCTTGGGTTTCCGAGGCAGTATCACTATGGAAGTAGATTGCCCAACTTGCCTTCTGAGGAGTGGCTGATGGGTTTGAACCACCAGGCTTCTGGTTAGCAGTCAAAATGCCTTAGGCACTATGCCACCAGAGCTCCTAAAGTTAGTATTGTTGTTGTTATGCGCCGTTGAGTCGGACCTGACTCATAGCGACCCCTCCTTGGGTTTCCGAAGCAGTATCACTACGGAAGTAGATTGCCCAACCTTCCTTCCGAGGAGTGGCTGGTGAGTTTGAACTGCCAGCCTTCTGGTTAACAGTCAAGTGCCTTACTTAGGCACTAGGTGAAAACCTGAATCATTATGAGGTATCATGAGATTTAATGGTACATGCCACTGCTAAGAGGACATAATGGTTAATTGGGGCTACGTGGATTGGACCTAGTTTTGTTTGCTCTGTTCGTCTTTCTCTCTTGTATTTTTCTTTTCTTGTCTCTTCCCCTTTATATCTTTCTGTCTTCCACCAGTCACTTGGGTCTCTCTTAATTTCTTTCTTAGGTTTTTAATTTCTTAACTCTTCTCCTTTCCTTTAATGAGGCTCACCAGAAAAAAAAAATTGTAATTTTTATATGCTATTTTTCACATTTTTTTCCTATTATCTTTCAAAATATAAACTGAACAGTTTATGATTCTTAATTTCTGTTGTTGTGTGCCTTAGGCACTATTCTACCAGAGCTCCTTTTAATTTCTAAGAAATAATTAATTATACTTGTATACTTTTCTTTGTTGATATGTGCCCATCAAATGTCTTCTGTGGCCAGTGACCTTCAATAGGAGCAAGAGTTCCCCCCTTTCCTTTATAGACTCTGATACTGATATGTCTTTCTACAGGACTGATATCTCATCATGTATGAAAAATGCCTGATAGAAAACATTCTAATGTACAGATTATGAACCTTTTTATTCAACACTGAGAAAAGCTAGATAAAAGAAAGCGACAGTTAAACTTTTGAAATCTTAAGCACAGTGAAGCCACCTGACTGCCCATAAAGGCCTGGTGTAGCCAGTGCTGAATGGCATAGTAAAGTGAGGAGAGTTGCTGTTTACTCAATTGCTTATTTTATTTTTAAGACTCATCCAGTGGCACTTAAAAGTTTCTATAATTCATAAGTAGGTTGTTACTGTATGCCATCAAGTCAGTACTGACACATAGTGACCCTATAGGACAGAATAGAACTGCCCTATAGGATTTTCTTGGCTATAACCTTTATGGGAGCAAATCGCCAGGTCTTTTCTCTCTTGAAGCTATTGGGTGGATTTAAACCATTGACCTTTTGTTTAGCAGCCAAGTGCTTAACCACTGTGCTACGAGGGCTCCTTAATTCATAGGTATACTGAGGTATTTTTCAGTTATGTTCCTAAACAGAATGCTCAGTGGTGATGGAGTCCACATTTTAAAAAGTAGAGGAACTAGTACTTGTATTTTCAAACATGTTTTTATTGAACATTACTTTTACGTAAGTAACTTAAGGTCATTTTGAAGGACAACTAGAAAATACAGATGAATGACTTGGGGGGAGGCGCAGGAGGGAGCCATAATCTTGCAATACAAAGGGAGTCCCCGTTGCTAAACTGGCATATACCCTTTCAGCCTTTAGTGTATATAAATATATTGTAAACAAAGTTAGGATCAAATTACTCACATTATTCTAAAGTCTCTTTTCTTATTAATATTTTTCTTCCAAGTTAATGTTGGTATGCTTTGTTTTTTAAAAGAAACAGAGTACTCCATTTTGTGTATAGGCCATAATTTATTTTATTGTTGTTGTCATGTGCCGTCGAGTCAGACCCGACTCATAGTGACCCCTCCTTGGGTTTCCCAGGCAGTATCACTATGGAAGTAGATTGCCACATCTTTCTTCCGAGGAGTGGCTGGTGGATTTGAACCGCCAGCCTTCTGGTTAGCAGTCAAGTGCTTTAGGCACTATGCTACCAGAGCTCCCATTTATTTTATTAGTGCCCTCTTTTTCCTTCTAAGTTTTGGCTACTAAACATAGACCTACAGCAAACATTCTTATAGTACTTGAAAAATTATTTTTAAAAATGAACCTGTTGGTTCAAAAGATGTACATTTTAAAAGTTTTAATGCATATAACCAAATTCTTTTGTAGCACAGTTGTACTGTTTCAAACTGCATCCCCCACCCTTGTCAAAATTGGACGTTGCCTTTATTGTTGTTTTTAACCTTTGCTAATCTGGTAATAAAAAAGATTGTCATTTTAGTTATCTGAAAATATGTTTTGTCATTGAACTGTCTGTTTTTTGGATAGTGAGTTTGAAAATTTTTTAATGCTTTAAGTATTTTTAATTCTTGTTTTTTGTTTTGTGAGAGCTCTTTTTTTCACTCTTATAAATTATGAGGATCACAAACACATTTTAGTGTAGATACTGCATCAGTGTCAGTTTAAAAGAAGTAATGATTCTTGTTCTTGCCAAGAATAAAGAAAATCACCTTATTTATATATATATAATATATATATTTCATAAATATGTTTTTATTTTACTTTAATCCATTACTGTTGTAAACTTCACTTATTTTGTAATATGTTCTGATGTATAATAATGAAACTTTTTCTTCTTTAGCTTGACCAAGAATGTTCCAATATTTGTTTGCACTATGGCCTATCCCACTGTGCCTTGCCCTCTTCATGTATTTGAGCCAAGATACAGACTGATGATTCGAAGAAGTATACAGACTGGAACGAAACAGTTTGGGATGTGTGTCAGTGACACACAAAATAGGTATGCTTTCTGTGGAGTTAGAAATTTTTATTTATACTGGAACTTTTTTGGAATATGATTAAGCACTTGCATGCCTGTACTTGAACTTTAATACTAAACAAAGTTTTTCATTTAGTTTTTTTTTTCTTTTTTAATTGTGATTTGGGTGAAAGTTTACAGAGCAAATTCACTTTCCATACAGCAGTTCACATACACTTTGTCTCATGACATTGACCACAATTTGCCCTAATACAACAGCCCTCCTACTTCCTCCTGATAGTTACCTTTTTCCCTGTGTCCATCCCTCCATGCACTCCTGCCCCCTGAGCTGTCTCCCTGTGCATAAATAGCCCTTCTTTCTCCAATGATTGTTCTCTCCATGGAGTGTATCTACCTCAGGTAAATGTTCAACTCATATGCCTGTCTTTTGTTTGGCTGGAAGCCACAGGTGTGAGTTCAATTCCAGACCTGAAGGGCAGCTAGGGGCCATGGTCTCAGTGGTTCCAGCAGGCTCTATCAGACCAGCAAACCTAGTCTTTTTTTTTTTTTTTTCCCAAATGATTTTGAGTTTTGTTTCACATTGTTCTCCCACTCTATCTAGGATCTCCTATATAGATTCCCCTGAGTGGTTGACAGTGGTACCCAGATACCATCTAGTTCTTCTGGTGTCATAGTCACATAGGCTGCAGATTGCATGGTGTACCAGTCGCTAGGACTAATTATTTCCATGAATCTTTGATTTTCTTCATTCTTCTTTGCTCTGGATGAGGAGAGACCCATCGTTGTATCTAGATGGCTGCTTGCAGGCTTTAAAGATCACAGTCACTACTTGCCAAAGTAGGAGGTGGAACAATGTTTTATGTAGTATGTTATGGCAATTGAGCTTGATGTCCCCTGCAACTATAGCCCCGAGCCCACAGGTTCAACTACTTGGTCCCTCTGGGTAGCTGGCTATGACCAAGAAGTGACTACAACCTTGTCCCTTGTCAGCTGTACTGTACACCTGGGAATTGTTACAGAACATACAAATACACTTGTAGAACCATCGTCTGCCAACCCTATACATATCTTGGATACATTCCCCACTACATAGACATACCTAATATTTCTGCCTGTCCACCCATCTATTCACCTGTATACCCATGTTTGCCTTCACTGACAATGTAGTACTATATGTGCAAAAGGGTTCACCTTTGTTGTCTGCACCTCCCATGTCCTCTCTATGTCTTCGTCTTCTTCCATGCCACCATGTTGATCACTCACATTTGGTACATTGTCCTTCTCTTCACCCAAATCAATACTTATCTCTACCTTCCTTATCATTTAGTTTTGCAGATTATGGCTGTATGTTACAAATTAGAAATGTGCATTTCTTACCCGATGGAAGATCTGTGGTTGATACGGTTGGAGGAAAGCGGTTTAGAGTTCTAAAAAGAGGAATGAAGGATGGATATTGCACTGCAGATATTGAATATCTGGAAGACGTTAAGGTATTAAAAGTTATTCTTTTTCTAGGATGGTTTGGTATACTTTGTCTCAGAGATTGTACCGGAATACTGACTAATAATTTCTAGGCAAATGAACCAGTTCTTACTATCAGAGACCCTCTGGAAGTTCTCTGTCAATATACTGCTACAACCATTTTTGAATTATCTTCGGTAAGATTTTACTTGCATATGATATCAGTGATATTGTTTAATAATTTCCACATTCTGTGGGATCACTTTTCTTTGGAATGGGAAAAAAACGGATCTTTTCCAGTCAGTTGGCCAGATAGCTGTCCTCCATATCTCTTGACATAACCAAGTGAGTGCCTCTGTTGGGACATCCATTTGTTAAAACATTTCAGTGGGCATCCCGTCAATTCCTAGAGCCTTGTTCCACTTATAAGAATCATCTCCAAGTTACTTTTTTCTTCAGTTACTCTTAAATCATTGTCCAATCCTGGAGAATTTGGGAGACTAGACCTAGAGCTTCTTCATCCCTCCAGACCTATAATGTCTGTGTATATATGCATGTATACTTGTGCATGTGTATATATGTATGGGAGGTACTTAACAGTAACAGATGAATTTAATTGAACTTACAACCTATCTAAGCTTTTCTGAAAAGCCACTAATCCTTACCTTAGTTTATTAAATGTATAAGTCCAAAAAAAAACCAAACCCACTGTCATTGAGTCAATTCTGACTCATAGCGACCCCCATTGGGTTTCCAAGGCAGTAAATCTTTATGAAAGTAGATAGCCCAGTCTTGGTTCCACGGAGTGGCTGGTAGATTTGAACCACTAACCTTCTGGTTAGCAGTAAGATGCCTTAGGCACTGTGCTACCAGAGCTCCAAATGTATTAGTAATTAAAGCTAATATAATCAGAAATGTCATATACAGATTGTAACTAAAAAGGCTTTAAGAATTCTGTGTATTAAGATTGCTCCTATGTCTAAGGTAACTTAGATAAACTAGACAGAGTGTGGGATACCATGTATAAACTCTTCTGATGATGTTGTTATGTACCCTTGAGTGGTCTCCAACTCATAGAGACCTATGTAAAACAGAAAGAAACACTGCCTGGTCCTGTGCCAGTCTCCTGATCCCTGCTATACCTGAGCCCATCACTGTATCCACCATGTCAATTCATCTTGTTGAGGGCCTTCCCTGCTTTCATTGACCCTCCACTTTACCAAGCATGACATCCTTCTTCAGAGAATAGTCCCTTCTAACAACATGACCAAAATAGGTGAAACAAAGTCTGGGCATTCTCACTTCCAAGGAGCATTCCAGCTATACTTCCTCCAGGACAGATTTGTTAGTTCTTACAGAAGTCCACAGTACTTTCAGCATTCTTTGTCAACACCACAA